TCTGGAAGATCGCTAGACGAATGAGTGTTTTTGAAGGCCGTAAAGGCATCTTTAAGGACTTATAACAACGAGTCTCCTCATCTTTGGGGAAAAAAGAAAACAAATATATGTAGTTTACTTTGGAGATATTTTACGTGTGCTTGAGAATAAATTCAAGAGGCAATTTGCTTTGATAGCAGGAGCTACAGAAAGAGAACAGGCTTCCGTTACTGGCGTACAGAAGACTTCTCCAAAATCCTCTGGTCACTCTTCTGATGGACGTGGTTATCTAAAAGAAGAATGACAGAGAATATAGTACCGACGAGCCAAAAACTTCGTTCTCCGTAACTGCTCGACTGACTGTCTTGAAAGCCAAATATTGCCTTATTGCATTAATTTTAGTGTCAGAGTATATAGTCAAGACAAAGACGAATGAATTTGTTGTTGATCAGGTGGCTGTTGATTTGTTCGCTGAGCTTGGAAATTGGCTTGCAAAGGTTTTGCCACCATACGAGGAGACATCATCATTGCGCAGTTGGGTGCTGCTAATCACAACTCCGGCGACTCCAATGGGCCCTACATGGTTCACTTATGTACTGAAACAAGAATCTTACGCTGAATTCACTGGAATTTTTTTACGTCATTGCTACACTACAAAGCAACACCCAACTTTGTGGGCACCGTAGGCAAATGCTTTGCATCAGAAAATATTTCACGCTGGAGTACAGCGGTGCCCTGCGGCACTTCACTTGCCTCCAGTTTTGTACATGCACACAACGATTGTTGGATGGCATTGTTACGTGCCTACACCTGACAATTTCAAACAAAAAATAGACGATCGCAAATGATGTGATCCCACAAATCAAGGGTGCAAGCTCACATATTTCTTCTCTCTCTTTTACGATGTAGTGAAGGAGATGCAGATTTTGGACGGTACTTTCACATACTAGCCGTTTTTTTGGTTTTGATGGATCCAGTGGTAAATAATAGAGACTCTGGTATCGCACGGCTTCAAAATTGATTGTATGTTAGTAATTTTGATGTACGACTTTGCCTAGCCACACACCAGGCAGTCTCAGCGTAAATTTTGAAAGACGTACTGGCTATGATCCAAAAGGTATTGAGTTGCTCCAGTTCGGACACGGGTGAAATACTTTGGGTTATATACGATCAAGTCGGAGGTGGAGGAGAAGTGAAGCTGGCAGTTAAGGTGACCGAGTTGCCGAGCATCCTTTATTTCATTTCCCTGGATATGGTCTGCAATAGCTAAAGAGAACAACTTGTGAAGCAGAGCCCTGTAGAACATGCAAGTTAAGGATTGGGTCAACAATTCTTCTCGAGGTTAGCTATCCACTTACAGCTAGGAGGTCTTAAATAATGCGCAACAATTGGAGGACCATGGATTGATTCGACCACCTTGTGAGAAAGCATCTACTTGTAACACAGCCCACTTGTAGTTTGGTGTAAGTAAGAGAAAAAATCAAGGTAGGATTCATTCAAATAAACTAAAAGCCGGACGCGATGGATTCCCGTTATCAGTGTTAACAGTTTTATGAATCTAAATCCTATTCCATGACTTGGCCCTTATTATAATTCCTTCGTCTCCGTCTTCAGTAACGAGGTAGGAAAGTGTTGTTTTAGGATACACATCTGAAGGCTTGGGGGCGTGGACGTAGCGCACAGAATTTTTCGTTTCAAAAGAGAGATGGTTTCTCTCTAAGTACTCTTGAGCTCTACGAGGGAATATATTGTTTACCTTTTTGCTTTTTGGATACATGTAGCTCTGTAGGACTTAAAGTAATTGACGAACCTTAGTTGGGTAAGCTGATAGTTGTTAACAGGCCACCAGATGAATACCAGGAAGATCTAGGTATATTACAGTGAAAATAGGGTCGCTAAGTGGTAAGACAAGGGAGGTTTTGACGATTCTCTATCGAAAGTGGCTATAGTGTGGTGCCTCAGGTAAAATTTCGTCTAGTTATGTGGCAGCCATCCTTATCCTGGGTAAGGGTAAACGAAGGAAAAACTTCATGAATCGATGGAAATATGTGTACTCCTACATCAGCTTCGGTAGCCTTGGTTTAACTGATTTATTTAACCAGAGGTTTGTCAGAAATAATTACCTGGATCTGAATCCGCGCCGTTCTGGTATACTTTGCTTCTCCAGGAGCGTTTGGAGAGAATCTGTCACAATACTCTCCCTGATTTTGACGAGAATAAGAGAAAAAAGGGTGTTAGTTGGGCGAACTGGACCTGATGTCCTGATGTAAACATTTTGAACCAAAACATAAATCATAATAATACTCTGTTGCAACGATAAGCGACAGAACCTATTGGAGATTACGTACGTGCTCATCGATTGAGCTTTGTCGGTTAAAATAGAAGGAGAAATGTGTAGTAAAAGATACTCAATAAAAACGACTGTACCTGAGGTCCCATTCGCACTGGAATTGAATTCGCATCACGGTCCAGCAATAGTGGTAAGCAAGGTATATGGTATATGTATATGTATATATATATATATACTTCTCCACGAAGAAAGTAGTGAAACAACTTAACCTAGTTTGTTACAGTCAGTAAACAGCATACAACGGACAAC